GGAAGGATGTGGGACCTAGAACAAATGAATGAATGACCTGGAACCCAGAACAAAAGAATGACGGAAGGATGTGGGACCTAGAACAAATGAATGAATGACCTGGAACCCAGAACAAAAGAATGACGGAAGGATGTGGGACCTAGAACAAATGAATGAATGACCTGGAACCCAGACGAAAAGGACAAACGAATGACCTGGAACCCAGAACAACCCCAGGGAGAGACTGATCTTACTTCATCGAAGAGCTGCAGCATGACGGTCAGGACATCGGGGTGGGCCTTGTCCACCTCATCAAAGAGGACCACGGCGTTGGGGCACTGCTTCAGCTTCTTGGTGAGCTGCCCCCCTTCGTCATGACCAATGTAGCCTGGCGGGGAGCCTATGAACTTGGCCACCTGCAAGACACCCCCCCACCCCGAGTTACACCATCCAGACTTCTGGGGTTCAAGGGTTCAAAGCAAGCTGTGTCCCACCCCCCCCACCACCAGCCGTGATTCCAAGGAATACGTGTCTTTCCGTGGGAGGTTCTCCGGAGGAACATGGGTTCTCTGTCCCAATCTGGACAGAAGCATTTTGGCACCTGGCAAGAGCTGGGAGGGAGGACCAAGGAAGGGAAATGGGAAGACCCTCCTCGCCCACAGCTTCATTAGCTACTCCCTTCTAGCACTGAGGGTGTAACCAAGTTGGGTCATGAAACGTCTGCAAGGAAATAAACAAGCTCAAGTACGCCACTGTCCTCCTCCTCTCCACAAGCCCCACTCCCTCCTAGCACTGATGATGTCCCCTAGTTGGGTCCTGAAACGCCTGCGAGGAAACCACCAGGCTCAGAGAGCACCATGTTCTCCTCCTCCCTTCTAGCACTAATCATGTTACCTAGTCAGGTAATGAAGCGTCTGCAAGAAAACCACCAAGGACCCCACAGTCCTCCTCCTCCTTCCTCCTCTTCTTTCCCCCCCTCTCTGCAAACCCCACTCCCTTCTAGCACTGATGATATTCCCTAGTTGGGTCCCGAAACGCCTGCAAGGAAACCACCAGGCTCAAGAGAGCACCAGGGACCCCTCATGAGCTACAAAGATTCTTTTCTACTGAGACTAGCCAAGAGTCAGGAATTTTAGCCAGAGGAAGACAGCCAAGCCCCCCCCACCGGGGAGAGTTCTACCTCTAGGGCAGTGAAGGTGGGTGCTTGGGGTATGCAAGAGGGGGCTCTGGGTTGAGAGGGCACCAGGCTGGTGAGGCCTGGCAGAAGTGGCCCCTCTCCTCTTCCTCCTCCTCACCTCGTGTCTCTCCTGAAACTCCGACATGTCCAAGCGGATGAAGCCCTGCGGAGGGAAGAGGCAAAGGGGAATTAGAAATGTTGCCGGACGTTCTCAAGCCATTTAAGTGAGGGAGAAGCCTCTACCAAAAGTTTGGGGCAACATTTCACCCCTTCTGAAGATTAAATTGGTGGCCTCTTGGACGGACCCATGAGGACACTTTCATTCTACCTACACCAGGCATGGAGGGAGGCTCACTCCCCTGAAATGCCCCTATGCCAACTCCACGGAGAGGAAGGGAAGCCCGATTCTGATTGGCTTAACAACTGTTGCAAAATTGGGCACGACTCCCTTAGCGGCCGCCTTGCTTAACAACAGAAATCCTGACCCCAGTTGCGCTTGTGGCGGAAGGAAGAGCTGTGCCTATCCCACTTTTAAGGCAGGATATTAAAGAATAAAACCTACAGTTAAGGTGAAAGACTGTGTTTAATCGCTGAAAATGGAAATTTAGCGGCATTTCTTGGGAATCTCTGTCAGTTGTTCTCAGTTGCTTTCTTCCTTTTGGAGGGGGCGATTAGGAAAAAAAAAAAGGAAATGTAATGCTAATTTGCGAAATAGAACAGCAGGGCATTAAAACTACTGAAATGTTTGCAAACATGCCAAGAGATATACGGCATCCCTCCACAAACCGAGGATTTAAATTATGAGCGGAATAAAACACGAGCTGAATTAAATCCGCGGATGTCTGTGGAAGTGAAATAAGGCTTCTGGGGGATGCGTAGCTTATTACTCGTGGGAAAAGCCCCCGTTTGCTTGCAGAGAGGCGCAGCTTCACTGGAATGCAAAGCCAAGGCCCGTTTCTCGCTAAGAACGCCTGGATTTTTCAGTCGGGCAACAGGTAACAACGCCCGAGACTCAAGTTACCATCAAGATTCGGCTCCTCTNGTGTGTGTGGGGGATTTACCAGCTTGGGTCCTGATTGGCTGCTACTGGAAGCTTCCAGGGGTCCAGCTTAACAGAACAGAATGCAGTTGGAAGGGACCTTGGAGGTCTTCTAGTCCAACCCCCTGGTCAATGCAGGAAATCCTCTACTATTCCAGGCAAATGGAATCTCTTCTTAAAAACCTCCAGTGATGGAGCACCCAGGATTTCTGGAGGCAACTTTCTGTTCCACGGGTTAATTGTCCTCCCCGTCAGGAAAATTTCTCCTTAAACCCAGGTTGCTTCTTGTCTCCTTGACCAGTTTCCACCTGTTGCTTCTTGTTCTGCCTCGGGGGCTTTGGAGAAGAGGCTGGCAGAGCCACCTGAAGGGCCCAAGGTCCAATGAATGAATGAAGGGCACCCAGCCTGGACCAACGTCACTGGAAGTCAGAGAGGAGGAATTCAACTGGTGGAGCGTTGCATAAAAAGCTGCTTGCTTTAACACGACAGGCTACCCAGAGTCACTGCAGTGAGATGGACAGCCAAGGAACAAAGGAATGAAGAAGTGAATGATCCAGAACCCAAAACAAAAGAATGACTGAAGGACCCGTAACCTAGAACAAATGAATTAATGAATGACCAAGAACCCAGAAGAAAAGAATGACCTGGAACCTAGGACAAATGAATGACCTGGAACCCAAAACAAAAGAATGACTGGAGGACCTGGGACCTAGAACAAACAAATGAAGGATCTGGAACGTAGAACATATGAATGGCCAAGAATCCAGAAGAACAGAGTGATCTGGAATCTTGGAACAAATGAATGACCTGGAACCCAAAACAAAAGAATGACCGAAGGACCCGGTATCTAGAACAAATGAACGAATGACCTGGAACCCAGAAGAAAAGGACAAATGAATGACCTGGAACCCAGAACAAAAGAATGACTGATCCAGAACCCAAAACAAAAGAATGACCGAAGGACCTGGGACCTAGAACAAACAAACGAAGGATCTGGAACTTAGAACAAATGAATGACCAAGAATCCAGAAGAACAGAATGATCTGGAATCTTGGACAAATGAATGAACTGGAACCCAGAACAAAAGAACGACCGAAGGCCCTGGTATCTAGAACAAATGAATGAATGACCTGGAACCCAGAAGAAAAGGACAAATGAATGACCTGGAACCCAGAACAAAAGAATGACTGAATGATACAGAACCCAAAACAAGAGAATGACTGAAGGACGTGGGACCTAGAACAAACAAAGGACCTGGAACCTAGAACAAATGAATGACCAAGAATCCAGAAGAACAGAATGATCTGGAATCTTGGGCAAATGAATGACCTGGAACCCAGAACAAAAGAATGACGGAAGGATGTGGGACCTAGAACAAATGAATGAATGACCTGGAACCCAGAACAAAAGAATGACGGAAGGATGTGGGACCTAGAACAAATGAATGAATGACCTGGAACCCAGACGAAAAGGACA